ATACTGGCTGGATGCACCAAAGTACTTATTTGCTTGTCCTTTTCCCTGTCTGTGGCGTTCTGCCCCTCAATTCTCAGAATGAGATGGAGGTTGTCAGAATCGTTTGTTTTTGACTTACAAAATGTCTTTCAGGTTTATACGCTCACTGCCATGTTGAATGAAGTGATTTAACGATATTATTTTGGATCTTTTTCATGTAGTGAACGAACTCTTAAATATGTGTTGTTCAAGTGTGTTACCTGGTGGAGGAACCAACATGGAATATGGTTTACATTCTCTTTTTGAGGCTAAAGGGGATATTATGGTAAGATAAGTTTACTTTCCAGTACCTGATCACATTTTTAAAAGGCACAATGAAGATAGTTTTGACAGGGACACCTCAAAGAATTTTTTTGAAGACCAGTTGGTGAGATTTTAGGCACTCTTCAGCAATCATCTCTTTCTTCTTTTGTGATATCTTTATGGTATTTCTAGCAGTGTTTTTAAAGTTCATAAATGTAGAATCAAGATCCATCTCACTTTAGTAAGCCATAGTGCACAACAGTGATTAGTTAGGTGCCATGACCATGAGAGATAATGTCATGGGATACACACAACCACCCTACATTGGCTGGGGAATCACTGTGTTTAGGATACTCAGATAGCTACCCCATACTTAGGTGGCTGGAAGATCTCAATAGCCCAACCTGGATGTTACTAGAACATGTGTAATTGTGACTAAGGTGCTGTTACTTCTCCAAGTACTTCAGAAGGGGTAGAGTAGAAAGGACTATTGAAATGCATTCTTTGTGGAATTGCCTTTGAAAAACATCTGGAAGCTACCAGTGGGGCAGCTAGGGTTGTGCGTGACCCACCATGGAGTGCATATCCTAACAGTATGGTCTAAAGTTTATTGAATGAATTGGGCTCGAAAGTGAAGTGTTGGTGGTAGCCCTAAATGTCTTGAGACCATGTAACCTAAAGGACTGACACCCACCCATATATGAACCTGTGTGTGATCACAGATCATCTCAGAGTTCTGCTTTGCATGCCTGATTTGTTGCAGGTAAGCTTGATGGGCATGCAAAATGAGGATTTTGTACCTACATTGTAGAATTCCCCCCCCCGCCCCCACCACAGGCAAACTCACCTGGTTTCCCTTGCTTTCAGTCTTTGTTAGGATGTTTGTCTTTTGCAAGGCATTAGGTGGGGGGAGTGAAGTCCTGTTTTGTTTTGTTTTATGCTGCTATTACTATATTTTACTGTTGTTTGAAGCTGTTGTTTGGCCTTGATTTTGATTTTTTTTAAAAAAACTGTGCTTTATAAAGTGTGTTGTAAACATGTTTGTGCTCTTTTAGCCTCCTTGTGTATTACATAAGTGGTCTAAAATGAATAACACAAAACAGAGTGCTTAAAAACACAAATATCCAATAAATGTTACCCTGCACCTGCTTAAACGTGGCTGTTGAAAGCCAGCCAAAGATGAAAGCATTACATCTCTTGTGGAAAGAGGCTTGGATTTGTGCCATGTCGTTACAGCTTTGTTTGAATTATACTTGTTTATGGGCAGATCTCCATCTTACACATAGTTCTGTGATCCTCCTTCTCCCTCCGCATTTATTTCTTTTATAGATTGCAGCTGCTAGAACACTGATTTCAAGAAATAATTTGGATGGGGGTACTTAATTCTCACCTACCTCACTTTCCCACCAAATAGCGCCACTGCTGAGCTATGGTCTTCCACCTCTTGGGGGCGGAAGGGAGTTCTTCCCTAGCAAGGCTAAACACAAATTAGGGACAGTGATTTCAGTGGAAAAACTTAAGAACATAAGAGAAGCCAATGTTGGATCAGGCCAATGGCCCATCCAGTCCAACACTCTGTCACACTGTGGCCAAAAATACCAGGTGCCATCAGGAGGTCTACCAGTGGGGCCAGGACACTAGAAGCCCTTCCACTCTTGCCTCCCCCCAGGCACCAAGAATACAGTGCATCACTTGCCCCAGACCGAGAGTTCCTATCTATACCTTGCGACTAATAGCCACTGATGGACATAGTGACGGGAAAAAGAGTTAAATGTTCCCTCTTCCCCTGACTTGCCTCAGTTCCACTTGAAGTTGCAGCCCCCACAGTTGCAGTCTAGGAAAGGAAATATATCTGGGGAAAGGATCACGGAAGTATACCTACAATGCCATCCTAAGCAGGGTCCATGGAAGTTGATTCTGCTTAGGATGGCACTGTTTATGCATAGTCCAAAATGTTAGGAATTTTTTAGTGTAATTCTTATACCGGGAAAAAAACTAGGACTTCTCTTTCTATCTACTTAAACAAGACGTCCGTGACCCTAGTCCAACTGTAATTGTGGGCAACTTGTTACAAACAGCTAGTGACTCCCATATATGGGGGTAGATCCCATGTCAAAAGGCATGTATAGTCAGGTCTTTTTTTTGTTTGTTTGAAAAAGAGGTGATGGAACTCTTAAGAAGGAAATGAAGTTTTCAATCTGTATACTGAAAACTCATGAACTTTTAAACATTTTAAAAAAGAATTTTGTTGGAGAAGTTCCGGAACTCCGTTCTGGCGCGTTCCCCCAGAAAAAAAGCCCTGTGTCATTTCTTTTCTCTGTCTCAACTATATACATTGAACATTGCTTATGTGTACAAATATCCCTTGCTGGGCTAGAGCTGGTTCCCCAGAAAATTCTTTCTCATAAGCTGATGCATGTCTGCAAGTACACAAACACAAGTATTATTGAAGCTGGATTGCTTCATAAGTACTGAGATTTTTTATTATTCCCATTATCTTTTCTCTGATATTGTGTGCAGGGAATTGGGGTTAATTGTTAGGGGAGCACTCCTAAGCAGGTATGTGCAGAAGTAAGCCCTATCTTATCCAATAGGGCTTACTCGCAGGAAAGTGTTCTTAGGAATGCAGCCTGTGACTAGTAGAATCAATGAGAAATACATCTTTGGGCTGTGAAGGTACATGGGAGCAACAAATAAAAGGCTTAAATCAAAGTGATAAATGATTGAGAGAGTTCCGGTTTATGGCGACACACAGGCAGACGCATCTCCTGGACCTCCCGGGTATGTGCCTAGAGCACACCAGCGTGTAGGCGCACCCCCCGGAGCCTTGGCAAAAAACTCCTAGCCATGGGGTTTTTGAGGGGCGACCTCTTTGCTGGCACAATGCTGGAGAATTGAGGCGCTCCTCCGCCCCGACGGTCCTGCCACTGAGTGTCCGAATGGACTTAGAGCCGCTGACCGGGACAAGCATCGGAGATCGAGCGAATTAAACGGATGCCGAGCGTAGCCGAATGGCCGATAATGAACTGTGAGTTGGGTTAAAGCGAACATGAGAATTTAAAAAGAAAGCTACCCCCCTACGGAGTGACAAAAAGCGAGCGGGGGAGGGACCCCTCCCAAACGCATGAATGAAAGCACGAAATAAAGAGAGGGGAGCAGAAGAATAAGCATTTAAATCTGTTTTAAGAGACTTACCAGAGCGTGGATAAGTGTAAGGGTGAATTTCAGAGACTTTGGCAACTTTTATAAAAGTAAATAATCCATAAAGATGGCGGGGAAGAAAGCAGACAAAGACAAACTTGTAAAAGTGAAACCAGTTGGTAGCCTTCGACGGGAAGAGACCACTGAGCTCTCTAAAATGTTGGCAGATTCCTTGCGCCCTCTGCTGGATGAGATGACTAACATCAAACAACAGTTGTCAACAATAAGTCAGAGTATGGTGTCTCAGCAGCTCCAATTGACTGAGTCTTTGAAAGTAACAGAGCAAACGGCTGAGAAGGTGAAGGAAATGGATGCCAACACTAAAAAAGTTAAGAAATAGGTGCAAAAGCTGGAAATGAAGCAAGCTGCGGAAGAATCACAACTTTTACAGCTGCAGATGGAGAAAGCAAATCTGGTCCTACGGTTCCAAGGGGTCCCAGAATTAAAAGGTGAGAATCTGAAGCAATTGCTGAGTGAAGCATTAGCCCCAGCTACAGATTTGAAAGCGGAATATCTTTACAGTGAGATGGATGTGGTCTACAGATCCTACTCCTCATACATCAAGAAGAATAATCTGCCTGGGGAAATAGTAGTCAGATTCTCTAAGAGACACGTGAGAGATTCTATCTTGAAAGCAACTACTGGAACACCCTTGAAAATTGGGGACAATAACATCAGGATTTTAAAAGATATTCCATTTGCAATAAGACAGAAGAGAAAGAAATATAAAGATTTAATCCTTTTTCTACAAACAAATGGCATCGGATACAGGTGGCTAATTCCAGAAGACGTCATTTTCACACTCCACGACAAAAAAGAAAAGATTGACTCTGCTTTTAAAGCACATGAGTTCCTGAGAGTACAGCTGGGGGAACCAGTTGAGGACAAGAAAGAAGAAGAAGAAGAAAGCAAATCTGATGGCGAGTTGGGCTCTGTGTCTTCTGACGAGGACTCTCTCTCTGAAAAGGGGGCGGCCGCCCTCAAAAGTCCATACAAGTTTAGGATCAGAAAAGATAAGACAAAATAAAGGCTGAAGGACTCTGAATTGTGCCTGAATATTACACAATAACTATGGGATGCTCTGGGGATTTTCTTAAACAGATTGATGGGTAAAAAGATAAATAATTTAGCATAACTGACTGTGTTCAAAGTAATATTAGCGATTAAGAATAACATTTATATAAGCTGTTGGTATGATCTCCTATTCTTGGGGTTTTCGTTACTAGTGTGTTTTTTTCCCTTTCTCCTTAGTTGTAGTCTCCCCTTCCTAATTTTCGGTTATAGCTTGTAGTCTCTTGAAAAAATTAATAAAAAACTCCCCCTTAGGGGGATTTTAAAAAAAGAGAGAGAGAGAAAATGGCCGCTTTGGAGGCTGGACTCTATGGCATTATACCCCATTGCATTCCCTCCCCAAACCCTGTCCTCCTCAGGGCCCAGCCCCCAAATCTCCAGGTATTTCAGCTGAAGTGATTGATAACTGGGAAGAGTTAACCACTGTTTTCCATAAGAGATTCACTTTAAGACAAAAAGGGCAGAGATCACTGTGTGCTAAACCTAAGTTCCTCATGGGTCAAGAGCTGCCCCTGGCAGGAAAGGGAAACTGCTCCTAGGACAATAAAGCAAGAAGGAAGATCTTTGTAGGAAGAATTCCTGCCTGTATAAGAGGACAATGTGGCATCTTGGATCACACCCAAGGCCTAGAGCTCACAAAAGAACTAACTGCATTGAGACTTGCACAGGGCGGATCATGGGTAGGACTCTTCCCTTCTATAGGACTCCAACTTCTGCTAGTTGTTAATGAAACATTTTGACATTTTCTTGGATTCTGGAATGTTCTTTGCATTGTTTATTTAAATTGTATTAGACTCTCTGAAACCTTGGGTGTGAGCCTTACCTTAGATTATGGAACCTGGCCATTGGGACAGAAAGGAAATGGCAGATCCAGATTCAGATCCTTACTCTGCTATGGAAGCTTGCTGGATGACCTTGGGCCAGTCTCATCCTCTCCTCCTAACCTACCTCACAGAGTTGTTGTGAGGATAAAATGAGGGAAGAACTGGAGAGAAAGGTGGGAAATGAATGAAGAAAATTAAGAAAAGTACTAAAACTGTTACCAGCAGACAACTATTCATCCACATGACTACCATTAGTGGGATACTATTGTGAAAATTACTGTATACCCAGGGTTTGATCTTGTGATCCGTCAGAGGAAGGCACTGATGATCTCTGCATGTCTTCCTGTGGCTCTCCCCTCCACCTAGCAGCTGATTCCAACCTTTCTGTGAATGGAGTCCACTGGCCGAAGAAGCAGAAAGGAGGGATTTCACCTCCTTTCCCCTACCCACTGCAGTCTCCCAACCTGTACAAGTATTAGTCCATGCAGGTCCTCCTGTGACCCAGAGAATAAACATTCCTGGGCTTGGGAATTGTTGCTGTGGGGGGGACAAGAGAGCCAGGAAGACAAGAAATCCTTTTGTGGCCCTCACAAGACCCTTATGCTGCCTCCAACCCTAGATCTTAAACCATTTGCATATGAAACAAGCATGTGGGTGCACAAAGACACGTAAGGGTTTCCATGATATTTTGCGTGTAACTCTAGGAATTGTTTAAGAATAAGCTCCAGTCTGGATGGTGCATGTGTTCACAGGAAGGCATACTCACTGAATTGCCAAAATTGGTCTACATTCTCTCACTCTTATAGCATGAGCTCTTCCATCAGTAGCGCAGGCATACTAATACTGACCTACTTGGGCTATTGTTATGACGTGGAAATAATGCAAGTGGAGCTCTTTAAACATTTAGGGGAGAAGGTGATGGAGACACTAAACATATATTGTTAAAATAATTACAAACAGTTTGTATAGAATGCTGCATCATCTATTTTGTCTGTCTTTGTCTTGCAGGTTACTCTGGAGATGCTTTTGTTGCTGAAACCAGCAAGAGCAAAATCTCATCCCCTGGCAAACTATCACTATGCTGGTAAGTTTCTTAAGAGCTGGGGAAGGGGCCCCTGATAGCTTTCTGCATGGGTCTCAGTTTCTAGGTGAGGATATGGAAAGAATGTAGCTGTCTAGTGCCACTTAGCAAAGCAGCCAGAGATAGGAGAGAATGGGGCTCCTTGGCCACTCACGACTGCGTTTTTCTGTTTCTAGTCACGAGAGACAGCCTGACAAAATTTCAAATTATGAAACATTTCTCCCCCTTTTGAAAATAGGGCCCACTTCTAATCCCACACCATCTGTCTGTGCCACCTGTGCCCTCTCTTTCCTGTGTGCGGCCTGGTTATGTTTACAAAGGCAGCAGTCCCTTTCTTTCCTTGTCACAAGCTTTATCTGTGACGTACCACATGTGCCTCACACCTTGACTTTTCCTTGAGGGCAAGTAAGAACATAAGAGAAGCCAATGTTGGATCAGGCCAATGGCCCATCCAGTCCAACACTCTGTCACACAGTGGCCAAAAATACCAGGTGCCACCAGGAGGTCCCCCGGTGGGGCCAGGACACTAAAGGCCCTCCCACTGTTGCCCCCCCCCCCCAAGCACCAAGAATACAGTGTATCACTTGCCCCAGACCGAGAGTTCCTATCTATACCTTGTGGCTAATAGCCACTGATGGACTTCTGCTCCATATGTTTATTCAATTCCCTCTTGAAGCTGCCCATGCTTGTAGCCACCACCACCTCCTGTGGCAGTGAATTCCATGTGTTAATCACTCTTTTGGTGAAGTACTTCCTTTTATCCGTTCTAACCCGACCGCTCAGCAATTTCATTGAGTGCCCACGAGTTCTTGTATTGTGAGAAAGGGGGGAAAGTACTTCTTTCTCTACCTGCTCTATCCCATGCATAATCTTGTAAATCTTGATCATGTCATCCCTCATTTGTTGTTTCTCCAAGCTAAAGAGCCCCAAGTGCTTTAACCTTTTTTCATAGGGAAAGTGTTCCAACCCTTTTATCATTCTAGTTGCCCTTTTCTGCACTTTCCCCAATGCTATAAAACCCTGATGGCTACGGAGGAAGGCTTCACCTGCCTTGGGATCCTTTCTCTCCCTTGACTTTGTATTCAAATTGTCCCTAGGCTTCGTTTGAGACTATAGGGTGTAAACAGTCTCTGGGATTTTAAGTGATCTCAGCAAGGCCATACAGAAACATTCTTCCAGGGCATGGCTAATAGACTCCAGTTTAGTTTGGTGTGAGTTAATAAATTTGTAATAAAAACTACATTATGTTCTTCCTCATTTCTTTCCCCAGGTTCTGACAAGTGGACCCCCCTTGAAAGAAAACTGTTTAATAAAGCCCTGTCCATGTACAGCAAGGACTTCATTTTGGTACAGAAAATGGTAAAATGATTTTGTATTCTTTGTTCTGCCATTTCTGAACTTTTGGTTTTCAGTTCCTTTCATTCAACAGCCCAACTTAATGGTAGATCACTGAGACAATGTTCAGGAACTCCTGTCTACAAGAATTTCATGCATTTGAGTCTGAGAGATCCCATCATTGGGAGCGGTGGTGGTGTTGGGTTGCTGTTTTAAAAATATGACAAGCACATTGAATGTTAATTTGATGCTGAAGTTAGAATTAAAAAATGTTTGGAGAGGGAGAGAGATAATGTGAGCCAGAGCTGTGCAGAATATTGAACTTGGATTAAGATAAATTGGGTTTAGATCAGTAGCTCATTAGGTGACCCTGGACCAGTCTCTTTTCTCTGTCAGCATCACCTACTTCATACGGGTGTCTGTTGTGAGGATAAAACAGGATAACTCCTTGAGTAGCAGAAGGCCATGGAAGTGGAGGAGGATACTCTGTGTGTGTCTAATTCTACAGTAAGATCCAAACCACAGTTTAAACCAGCTGTCCCCACTCTTGTCGACCCTGCGGGCACTTTTGGATTTCTGAGAAGAGCTAGTGGATGACACCACAAAATGGCTGCCATGGGAGGCGGTGGTGTGACCAATGACAAAATGTTGGGAGTTTGCAAGGCAAACATCCTCCTATGATGTAGGCAGCTGTTATTTGAATGGTTGGTGATGCTTCCTCGATTCTTCTGAAGTAACACCTCCAGTGAGCTAGAGTAAAGCCATTGTTGCCCTTTTTGCATTGGGGAGGAAGTACTCTGAGGAAGAAGAAAGTCAGTATCATGGTGTCCATGGGCATCCCACTGGGGGTCAGTAGTTTAGACATTTGATCTTTATTCCAACCTCAGAAACATCTAATGTGGTGCAGTTTGTCACAAGCAATGAACAACTAATGTTTTTGTTCTATGTGCTTGAGCATTGAATACTAAACAATAAACTTGTTGTAACATCTGAATTACTGTTCAACTGCAGGTGAAGTCTAAGACCGTGGCACAGTGTGTGGAATACTATTATACTTGGAAGAAGATCATGCACTTGGGAAGGAAGCACAGAACACGCCAAGTGGAAATAAAAGAGGAATGCATGGTGAGCATTGTTAGGAGAAGAATCTCAAACTTCCAGATTATGCTTTGTATGTGTGAAAGTGTTATTTTTTCCTAATTGGTGCAAGTTATAGCAATAGGGGCTCTGTTGTACACACATTATTTTGCTTTGCTGTACCAGTGCTCTAGATGCATTGTGGAGCAGAGGTCCATCAGTGGCTCTGGGGCAAGTGATGCTCTGTCTTTTTGGTGCTTGGAGGGGGTCAACAGTGGGAGGGCTTCTAATGTCCTGGCCCCACTGGTGGACCTCCTGATGGCACTGGTATTTCTGGCCACTGTGTGACACAGAGTGTTGAACTGGATGGGCCTTTGGCCTGATCCAACATTGGCATCTCTTATGTTCTTATGTGGGAAACCAGCACCTATTGCTAAGATACGTTCAGGGAAGTAGACAGACCCTGCTTTTAAAGCAATGAGGATGTGAAATCACTCCCACCACATTCCGTATTAGCATACCCTTTCCTTTTCTAAGAGAAGCTCTCAAAATTTATGCTTGCAAGAAATCATTGTGGGGGGGACTCATTCCCCCTTTACCAAAAGAAAGCAGGGGAAAAGACTTTCTTCAGACAAGAAAATAAATGTTTCTCAGAAGGTAGTAGAATTCAGTCCAGCCCACCAGTTAAGGAGATCCTTGTCCCAAACCCTGCTCCCCATGGCCCTGCTTGCAGAGGCAAGGTGAGTGACAACCAGGGACAGGGCTTTTTCAGTTGTGGCACCTTGCCTTTGGAATGTCCTCCCTCTTGAGGCTTGCCCGGTACCTACTTCTATGCCCCCGGCCAAAACATGTTTTATCCAGGTTTTTAACTGATGAGGTACATCTTTTTAAACTGTTTTTAACAGTCTATGCCCCAGCTTGTTTTTAATGGCTCGTATTTATTATTAGTAACTCTTAGTTTTTGCTTTAATGATCTTATTGCATTCTTTGTATTTTGTTAACCACCTCAAGCAAGAGACATGGAATATACCTTCTCTAAATATAGAATGGAAGTCATAAGATTTTTATTTGGGAGTCTGCTTATACATGTCCAAGGTACATAAACAGTTTGTAGGTAGAAGAAGGGTAGGTTCATTTCACAGCAGAGACCCAGGTTCACTTGCTTATCTCCAAGGGCCAGGTGTACTGACAAGGGTTTGCTTTCACCAGTCAAGTATCAGTTCTTGTGTAAGGAAGCTCACCCACATTTTCTTAGATCAGTTCTGCATGCCTTAAAATCCAAATGCTTTTCAGACAAGTGGAGAAGAAGAGGACTTGGAGGATGAAGAGCAAATGGAGGAAGACAGAAAATCTATAAAAGAAGAGGAAATTGAAAATCAGAATTCTCCTGACCCACCACCTATTACTCTTGGTGCACCCATTAACCTGCCATCCCTGCAGAGCCTCACAATCCCTGTGACTTCTTTTACCTGTGAAATGCCAGACTGCGGAGCTGTAGGTGTATTTCATGACATATAAATAAGCTGAGAAGTGTGTGTGTGTGTGTGCATGCACATCTGAGTAGTGTATGTTCTTTGACTGCTGTGTTCATGTACAGAAATTGGTGTTGGATACAGAGTTCACCTTTCTTTTTTTCAGACAGTAGGACTCTTTCTATAATGACAGTTGCAGGGATAGCAGAACTGGGTGGAGGCTGAGAGGTCAAGCAGAAGGAAGGTGGAATGCTGGACAATATTTTCCTTGATCCCAAGAGTGTGTCTTAGGGGGAACTGGTGCTTGTTTCAGATATAATGGCAAACAATGGTTTTTCACTACATGAATGAGCCTAGGGGATTCTTGGGCTTGAATCTTCTCTCTCTGTTATCCCGTCAGGTATAGCCATCTATCTAGCTATTGCCAGGTTTGCAGCAAATCATAGCACACCAACTGGCAAACTACAGTTTGTGCTTATCCTGCAAACCATGATTTGAAACTGGGAAGGAAACACAGTTTGGCATCCTGGTTTGCAGATCCAGTGTAAATCGTAGCTGTCAGTTCAGATATAGTGGCAACCTTTGATTTGCTGTGAAGCTAAAAATAGGTTACATGTGAGAGCAGAAGCAAACAGAGCAATATGTAATGCATATGGTGAAAAAGGTCTCTGTAATGTCCAAGGGATGTGGAATACACCCAGCCAGCCCAGATTCTGAGCTACTAGACCCTAATGAAGCATCCACTCTCAAGCCTCATTCCAGCTCTGTCAGAAAAAGTGAGACCTGTTCATTTGCATGGGCAAATGGAGAGAGATCATTTGTGTTCTTTTTGTTATAAATCTGTTATTTTTGTTTTGTTGCCTGTTAGCCGTGGGTAGCTAAATAGGAACTCCGTGTCCAGAGGTAGTATCCCTGTGCAGCCAGGTGCTACAGGCAAAATACGAAGTTTCTAGTTAGAAACAGGATGCTTGTCCACATTGAGCTGACCCAGCAGGACTCTTACAGTTTTAAGCAAAGGGGGGGGGGGATCAAAACTGTTCAAAGTACTTGACTGTTTACTCCTCTGTTGTACTTTGCCTCTAAGAGCCATTTTATGGCTGTGGTGTTGGGTGTGTTTTTTGTTTTTTTGCCCTGTAGATGTTCAGCTCCAGACAAGCCCTGAATGGCCATGCTCGCATTCATGGTGGTACAAACCCTGTGGTGAAAACCCGCTATGGAGGTCCTGGCACCAAGCAGAAACCAAATTCCCAGAATGAGTACTGTTCTGTCAAAAACTCTCCCGCTCACAGTACAACAAGTGGCGAGACTGATCCCCCTACAGTTTTCCCTTGTAAAGAATGTGGCAAGTGAGTACTTTTCTACTTGTGATAGACCTGTAGTGTGTTGCTTTCTATTTTTAAAAAAGCTTCATGGGGACACAAATCATCAGTGAGGTAGAAAAGCTACTATATTGAGTAGGGCTTTGTAACTGTACCATGTAAACGCTGGAGAAGTTGTCATGTGGTGTCTTCTAAGATGGCATTCAGCTGTCCTGAGCCAAATCTAATCCTCCTTTTGCTATGTGATCCTGCATTGTGGATTTCAAGAAGCAGACTGCTCTACGAGCTTGCATTTTCAGCTGGTGCCATGTCTCAGCAATCAGTATTTGATTTGTTTTTCTGAAACGTAAATTCTCTACCAAAACATCTGATGAAGATCATAAGGCTTCTTAAAAGGCCAACACTGGGTGACTTTCAAGATTTACATGTGAATCCCAGGCAACTGTTGTGATTGTCTAAAAATTCTGTCACGCACCAGGGAATTCCATCAAGTTACCTAAATGTGACTGTGAGTATTCAGTGCAAAATGGAGGAATGATTCCCTGTAGCTGTAAAGAAGTACACTCAGATGTGAAAGCTGAAGCCAAAATGGGGAAAGGGGGATTGGAGAAGGACTGTACTGATGACAGAGACTTTCCTACCCTCACAGAAAAAAACAGAAAAGGTTGGCATGACAAACACCTCCCCCCCCCCCAAGCATTCCCTTATATGATAAGAAATAAACTGGCTTGGAGAGTAGCATGTGTTCTCTAGGTATGGGCCCATAAGAGTGAGGGAATTGCATTGGCTAAATGGGAAGCATAGCCAACATGAGGAGCCACTGACATTCACCAAATTTTGGACATTAACTCCATATGTGAGTATTTCCTAATATGCTGAAACCCTCTGAAATCTGCTTTCATCTCCTCTCACCCCCTTTCATCTTCATCTTCTCCAGGATGTTTTTCAAAATCAAAAGTCGCAACGCCCACATGAAAACACACCGGCAACAGGAAGAGCAACAAAGGCAGAAAGCTCAGAAGGCTGCCGTTGCAGCTGAAATGGCAGCTACTATTGCGAGGACTACAGGGCCAACTGGGCCTGCCTTGATTCCAGTGGACCACTTGGACTTGATAAAGCAGGTTGAACAGGTGGATGAGCTTGACAGTGATGTTGTTCAGGAACTGGGCGAGGTAATTGACAGTACTGAAGGGATAGACCCTGATCTCTTACTAGACGAAGAAGACCACGAGTTACTTCAAGATGATGTTGAGCTCTAGAAGAAATGAGCTGGTCTTTAAAATCAGAGATGCTTATTGAAATTAGTTTCTCCATCAGGGGGGCTAAGTATTGACTTCCTTCTTATTTTAAACTATTTGAATAGTTGAGTGCTTTTTTATCCAGGATTGGAACAAATTTGATGGTGTTCTTATTTGGGTGGGGATAGTAAATTAGGTTCAGCTTTGGAAGATGGAAAAGTTTGTTCCCTTTTTCAGAAATGTTTAGTCCTAATACCTTGGTAACAAAAGTACAAAGATGTTCATATCCCTGTTCCATTTCCTTTCTGACTTTTTTTCCCCATGAAAAGCCCCAAATTCCTTTTAACTTCTCAACTTTCCCCATGTTCTCCCACGCCTTGCCCTCCACAGGATACATAAGGAGAATTATGTAAATGTGTTTCATTTTGTGCCTTTTTTCTGATCCAAAAACATCCGCAAGAATTCTTATGTCAAATACGTTCAAATGACAAATAATGGGCCATTACCCACTTCTGCCATAACTACAAAACTGACATGGAAATGACTTGGTGGCATCTTGATAAAAGAGACTGGGCAGATTTGATGCAACTCCCATTGCCTTTCTGCTAAAGAAGCTGTCTGGGGCCACAGCAGCAGCTGAGGCTGATATTACCCCTAGCATAGAAGGCTGTATGCTAAATGAATGTTTTCAAGGCATCTTCATATTTGCTGTAACCAGGTGTGGGACTGATTTTGAATTTCCTCCTGAAGATGTGGACTGACTTTGTGGGTTATTCCACTTGCTTTGCTTGGATGTGAAAGTGAAGTGGTCATCCATGGGAGGGCGAGTGAAAACAGCTAGATTAATCTGATGTTTTACTGAATCTTAAAGCTTTATGTGGCAGTTTATTTGTTTGCAAAGGTTTCTTTTTATATTGCGCAATTCAGAACTTTATTTTAAAAGGGTTCAGAATGGACAGTGTAAGTGAATTCTGAGTATGAAGAAAAATCGCTGTTTGACCTTCACTTTAGAGGAGCTGCTGAAATAAAACTTAAATACACACGCACATACACCCCACAGATACTGAAGAATATTGGACAGGATGTGTGTTAGTGATTTAGAATGCACTAAAATACCATTCATAAACTGAATTGTTAGAAAAGTTGTCCTTCAGCATTGAGGGGGAGATACTTCTTTTATGCTGATAGCAATGCAGAAGCATTTTCCCAAGGACAGTGCATGTATTCTCCTCACAGACAAAAGGAGGGTGGGAGGAAGATGTCTACCATGAGGTAAAACAGTGATAACTTAATTGGATTCTGTGCTACATTTCTGTTTGTGCTTTGCAGTATACAGAAGCTGGTAAGTCTCTGATTAGAAAAGTGTCAAATTACTTTGTTACAGCAGCTTCTCTGGTGTGGAGGTGTGGGGGGGGGGGCTGCAGTGTGCTACTCTGCTCTTTTATGTAAATTTGGGCACAGACCATATACAAAACAGAGTAACTCCTGTACCCTCAGAGTGAGCATTGGAACCCCAGGGAGTTTCAGATCATGGCCAAAGAACTTTAAAAGCTGCCATTTATAAAAGTTTATGTGTGTTTTAAGTGGTTTATAAGGTTACGTAGGATTATACTAACAGTAAGTTTTTCTTCCTGAAGATACTCTGTAGTGAGCCCATAGACGTCATCTTGGGAAGTTGGAAACACAATTGAATTTGAGCAACTTTTGAGAGTCAGGGGGGAGGTGTCTTATATCTCTCCAGCTGTGAACTCCTCTGAATCGAATGCACCATATCAAATGTTCGTCATCATTTCGTATTCAGTAGTAATGCTGAAATTCAGTTTTCTGAATATCTGTCATTTATAAATGTCTCTGAGGCTGCCCGGAGAGGGGGCGATAACGCTGTGGCAGAAGGGCGGGGTTGTGACAACATCTTTCACTATTTGCTATTTTTTTCCTTTTTATTGCTATTTCTAACAGTTTGTAAGTTTGCAAATTCAGTCCAAAGAAAATTATTTAATTCTGGTCCTTTACTTCCCTGGTTTTTGCCCTATTCATTTGTGTTAAATAATCACAAACTGGGGTCTAAAACATTTTTGTGAAAGGTAGGCATTTTGCACCCACCTTATCCAAAATGAATGGAGAAATAAAAATTCCCTTTTTCCCCACCCTTTGTTCTTGGCTAGATTATCAGCATATTCCACTTTATGAATGACTGGATTGTTCGGTTTGTAGCTATTTTCCTTCACAAGCCATGGGAGGGATTATTCTCCAGACATGATTCTCTGGAACATGGGCACTGTTTACAAATGCACAATGTGCAAAATATTTTGAATATATACATTTTTCCTAAGACCCAGGATAAATATACTACAAAAATTCCTAGAGAAAATAATAGTGTTAGGGATGTTTCTGAGCAAAGCCCATAAACAAATTCTGAAATTTCCATTTGGGTTCAAATGTTGTGCTGGTCATTGGTGGCACCAGTGAGAAGTGTCATGAAATTAGAGTCTTCAGTTGGTTTGAGACAATTGAAATTTGAACATGGTTGCATCTGGGGTATCTTTAGAAACATATCAGAATGAAGGCAGTAACATTTGACCAGGTAAACTCCCAGTTAGAACCACCACTTCTTCCTGTCTGTGATGGTGGTGGGGGGGGGGGATGTGCCAACATGTGCATATAAATGGTTGTCAGAAACATTGTGACTTTGAGGTGTTGCTTTCTCTGTGTGGCTGTATCCTTGGAAAAGACATTCTGACAAATAATCCTGAACAATATGAAGTGGCTCAGGAATGATTGAACAGGCATCTGAAAAGATTTGATATAGAGAAGCTACTCAGATGTTCCCATCTAGTCTCACGTTTCCCCAAGCTGATTCAAGAAGCGACCTCCTTTTCAAGGAGTGGGGTTTGAAAGTGCTGTATCACTGCATCTGACTGTCACAGTAAACATAAGCAATTCACCCTTGTGGTTCTGTTGTCACCAGCCAGTCTTTAATGTCAATGGACTTAACGGGGGGTGGGGGGGGAGAGGTGGAGGTGTTCAGGAGAAATAATAGTTTGCTGTTGAACTCTACCAGGCATTTGATTGGGTCAGAAGCCTTGCAGACACACTCTTACATCATAACTTCTCATTGCCAGGGGTTAGCTAATGTGGCTGGGTTGCATGCTGTTTGGAAGCATCCCTACTTCTGTATTAAATGTTTACTGGCAGATGAAATCTGCATAGTTGTGATGGTTGCCCATCTGTTTTATATCTCAGAATATTGTTCAGCAATTCTTCCTTTCAATCAATCCTCTGTGCAGTTCTGAAGGACAGCCCTTAAAAGATCCACATAATCATCTGAGAGAGTTCCTTTTTCTTCCATTTAAGAGAAAGAACATAATTTGGTGTGGTTTTACAAACCTCTCCAGCTAACCTAGTACTAAGGCCTTTCACAGGCAAGGCCTGTGGCTTGTTTTTGGTGAATGATTCAGGGAGGGAGGAATTGAAGACACATGTGCCCCCCATCTTATCTGCAGCATTCTAATTTCTCAGATTCCTCTGTTGGAAGAATTGCTCCAGTTGGGAAAGAAGAAAGTAGAAACATACCCTAAGAATGCCATATCCTGCCTCAGTGTTGGAATGTAGGCCCAAACATCCCACTCGACATATGTTGCAAGCCCATGCCAGAATCAGAACTGTCTGATATAACAAAAAGTATTCAGAGAGGACATGGCATGAGAACTTGGCTACAGGTTATACTCACCATATGAAAAGAAGCCAGGCTGCTGAGAACTCTGAATGTCCCCTGCTGATAGTAGGCAGTCGTGTGACATTATGATATTGCCCATCTTAGGCCGGCAATTGCAGCAATATCAAATTTTCCACAGTAGAAATCAAGACAAATCCATTTAAATAGTTTTCCAAACCCTAGAGCCAACAGATCTCTAATATTAGCATCTGCTATTAAAGAAGATTATCCTGACCAAATGTCTCACTCACATTTACCTTAAAGTCCAGTTTAGCAAATAGCCAGGTGACCAAGACAAAAGCCAGTGCTCCCTACTTATCTTCCAAATGTGTGAACCAGTAATATAAATCAGTGTATAAATCATGCCACTTTGCAGTAGATCCTACTTCCAAACTGATGTGCATAAATGATTGTCAAGCCAATGTAATAAACCATTGTTCATCTAAGGACTTGCTAAAACATTGTTCAGGACAATATGGATTACTGTACTATGGGATAGCCTACTAGTGCTATTATGGCGGATGGTACTGGGTACTTTGGATTCATAAATGCACAGTTGATATTGTTAAGGAGTATCTTTACCTTAGATTGGAAAGTATTGTGGGGAACATTACCACAGTTTACCTAAAGCCCCAGTAGGATCACCAAATTCTTCTTGTCCTTCCTTGATTAATAGATAAATGCTGTGTTAGCAGATATGGTAGAGTGCATCTCATAAGTACAGGTTGAAATACTTAACTAATATTATGGTGTGTCTGTGGAGATATTTCAAAAGCAAAGGACATCATAGCTAAACAGAAATAAAAGACTAATCCCCATATATATATTTTACAGGATATTCAGTAAATATAATTACAGAGATAAAACATGGCTTAAAATAACCAAAGAGATTCTCAAAACGAATCCCTGAACATCTGTGGATTCTTGTTTAAACTTCATTTGTGGTTTTGGTATTCATACGGTTGCAGTGATGAATATCATTTAAATATGATTTATATTTTGTCAGAAAATGGGATTTTTTTTCCTAATGGTTCTCATGTTTGTTGCAGTAGGATTTCAATAGTGAAGAAATGGAAATTGTACATAGCAAAAGAAAAAAATATATTTTATGGAGAAATCTTATTTTCAAATATATTTAACTGCTGTTATATTGTTACAGAAAATGTATAAATAGTTTTGGAATTGTAGTGTAGTATAAAAATGTTCCTTGAGGGGAAAATGAATGTTTTAATTTAGTTCTCTTTATTTTTTTAATAAACCTTTACTTGTTAATGCTTTATTGCACCTGAGTTGCATGTTGTTTAAC